TGATGAGAGTTACAGATTGGAAGCAGAGCTATTTCTAGTATTGTTTGGGGGCTGGAACAGATCATAACTCTCCTGCCTTTTACCCTACCAAAAAGTAACACACTGCAACAATCCAGTCAAAATTAGTTTAAAGTGAGGATTATTGTCAGTCTTGAGGGGGAAAGTTACAAAAGGAATTTCTGAAATATGTTCTGGAAGAAGGAATATTCCCTTCCAGAGAATTATGGTGATTATAGGCATGAGATGCTTCCAAGTTTCTGTTGTTTTGTGTATTACATTTTTAAAATGTTTGTTTTGTATATTTTTCCGCACTAGCAAAGTCTCTCTCATGCTTCCTGCCTTCATTGTTGCCCAATTGCTAGAAGCTTAGATGAGGTGGGGTATGAGTGGAGAAAGAAAACTGTGAGCCTCTGCGTGTTCACTTTAGCATAGACAGTTTAAGAAAAGGCTGTGGTAGTCCACTCCTGTCTTTTTACTAGGTGTTCTTCCCAGGGACTTGGGCATCTGCTTTTGCTCTAGTCCTTAGGATCCTGCAATTCTTTTCACCTGAACTAATCCAGTAGGTTTCATGTATTTGCCAATAGTGTTGGGACCTTAGACAGCTTTGCTTATCTAGAGTTGATCCAAATCTCTAGAGGTCCTGTTCACTCATGAGGTTATACTGATCTATCAGGTAATTCACAATAATAGTAATAACACAAAACCTAACATAACTGTAAATATTCTCGAGAGAGTTCATTTTTTCCATCATAAAGAGTATAATTTTTTGAAAGAGAGAAACATAAAAGTAAATCTGACATTAGGATACTCTGTTCATGTTCAGTCTGATGAAGGAATAATCCTGGACTAGTCACTGGAGGACCATTTGAGATTCTATTTGAACTTTATGATTATTTTGATATGTTGGGGTTTTACAAAACAAACTGAAATTTTACTTTGCCTTATTTTAGGTAGATTTATTGGTGCGGTCATAGCTACATACTCAGTAGTCAAACAATACTTTTTTATATACTGTCAGATAATCTCCTGTTCATAGTGTTAAATATTGTCAAGAAATTATTTCCTTTAATTGTATATAGGAGCTTTTTAAAGTGGGCTTGTGATAAAAGGTGGATTGTTGACTTCTTCTGTTGAAGAGTCTGGTTGTTGCAGAGCCTTTCCCTGTCTCAGAGTAAATTGAGAAAAGAGCTCCCTTGATGAAACATACACCCCCATATTACACTCCCGTATATTCTCACTTTCTTAGGTTCACTTTGGAAAACTATATCTTTTAATATGCAGATATCTTCTGAAGAAGTTGAGGTTTTTAAATTTTCATGTATTTATTATAAATGAAAGCCATTTTTTGAGAGTTACAGTCTGAAATACTGTTCCCTGAATGCTGGAAGAGTAAAGCCTCTAAAAGGCAAGATTTGCCTATTTTTCTGTAATCACTAGCATCTATCTCTTATGCCATTGAGAAGCATGCATGGTAGTTTAATATGCACTGTAAAATATATCAGATGTCTCTTCTTTAAAATAATTTCAAATTGCCTGAGTCCATTCTGTGTGCCAATTATTAAGAATTGGGCAGGCTAGGCTGATTTTAAAAAAAATCTTTCTATTCCCTCTTTCATTTTTTAAAATTAAACTTTTGAGACTATAAGAATCACAGTTGTAAGAAGCAATACATAGAGAGTGCATGTACCCTTTATCAAGTTTACCCAGTGGCAACATCTCGGATATCCACAGTATAATATCACAACCAGGATATTGACATTGATGCAATCCACCAACCTCATTCGGATTTTGCAAGTATTTCTTGAACACTTGTACTCTTCTCTATATGTCTTTAGTTCTTTACAGTTTTATTGCTTACATGTGTATCTACTACTGTAGTCAAAGAACAAATCCATCACCACAAATATTCCTCATGTTGCTTTTTAATAATCATACCTGCCCTCCGTTTTAAGGACTCTTTGTTTTATTTTAAAATTCTTAGTCATTTATGGTCTTGATCTAATTATTCTTTAAACTTATATCTATGCTTTTACATTTTAAAAAAATTTGGTAAAAACATATCTGATGAAACATATTCACTGTTGTCTGGTCATGATAGCTCACACCTGTAATCCCAACATTTTGGGAGGCCGAGGCAAGCAGATCACCTGAGGTCAGGAGTTCAAGACCAGTCTGGCCAACATGGGGAAACCCCATCTCTACTAAAAATGCAAAAATTAGCTGGGCATAGTGCCAGGCACCTGTAATCCTAGCTACTTGGGAGGCTGAGGCAGGAGAATTGCTTGAACCCAGGAGGTGGAGGCTGCAGTGAGTTCAGATCACTGCACTCCAGCACCACCACCCACCCCCCAAAAAAGGTACTCACTGTTTTATCCACCCTCACATAGATCACTTCTATGACAACTGATGTGTGGGTTTTTTTCCCCACACCAAGCAATTCTCTAGGATACCAACTGGGTGTCCTACAGTTTAATTCAGTTCTGTTGTCTATCTGTTGTTAGCATCCAGTCCCGCAAGTTAAAGGCACAGTCCTAGAAACGAGTCCCATTTAGACACCAGTAGAAAGTCTGAGCTTACTGTATTTCTGACTGGCTGTAAGTCAGGGGCTCCCATTGACCCCTCCTTGAGGTTTCATCATTTGCTAAAACAGTTCATAGAACTAAAGGAGGCCAGGCATGGTGGCTCATGCCTTTAATCCCAGCACTTTGGGAGGCCAAGGCAGGCAGATCATGAGGTCAGGAGTTCCAGACCAGCCTGGCCAACATGGCAAAACTACGTATATGCTAAAAATACAAAAATTAGCCTGTTGTGGTGGCGGGCACCTGTAATCCCAGCTACTCGGGAGGCTGAGGCAGGAGAATCACTTGAACCTGGGAGGTGGAGGTTGCAGTGAGCTGAGATCATGCCATTGCACTTCAACCTGGGTGACAAGAGCAAGACTTTATCTCATGGGGTAGAACCTCAAGAAAACACTTCACTGGTTATGGTTACTGTTTGATTATAAAGGTTACAACTTGAGGCTGTGTGTGGTGGTTCTCACCTGTAATCCCAGCATTTTGGGAGGCTGAGGCAGGAGAATCACTTAAGGCCAGGAGTTCTAGACCACCCTGGGCAACACATGCAGATCCTGTCTCTACAAAAAATATTTTTAAAAAACTAGCCAGGCATGGTGGCTCACATGTGTAGTCCTAGCTACTGGGAAGACCGAGGCAGGAAGATCACTTGATCCCAGGACATGGAGCCTGCGGTGAGTTGTGGTCATGCCACTGTACGTCAGCCTGGGCAGTGTTGCAAGACTCTGCCTCAAAAAAGAAAAGAATCATAAGAATCATGTGGTGTTCATTCGTGATGGTTTATTTCACTTACCATAATGTCCTCAATGTCCTTTCATGTTGTAGCATGGGACAAGGTTTCCTTCCTTCCCTTTTAAAACTGAATAATTTTCCATTGTATGGGTACCATGTTTTGTTTATCCATTTAGGGACCTGTGAGTTGCTACCACCTCTTGGCTATTGTGAATAATACTGATAAACATGGGTGTGCCAATATCTCTTTGAGATTCTGCTTTTAGTTTTTTTGGGCATATACCCAGAAAGTGGAATTGTTGGATCATATGGTAGTTCTGATTTGAATTTTTTTCAGGAACCTCCATACTATTTTCCACAGCAGCTGCATCATTTTACATTCCTACCAACAGTGTATATCCATATTTAATGATATTTGGATACATAGGTTTTGATTCATCCATTTTAGTTCTATTTATTTAATGACTTATTGACTTTTCTTTTACAATTGATGGTGAATACCTAGCCCAAATCACAGATGAAATACTTTGTATTAGAGAATGTTTGTATATCAAGGATGATCCTCAAGGCGACATCTAAATATTTTCAAGTCAGCTCTTTCTGGTGTAAGTGAGAGAATCCTTACCTGAACTAGTTTAAGTAAAAAGAGGAATTTTATTACAAGGGAACTCGGATGTTACATTGAATCTAAGGATGGTAATGTGTCAGGGCCTTAGAAATCACTGGTTAAGAGACTTGATTCTCTCTTTTCTTTGATGGATCTTTTTCCTTCTTGTACTCTGGCTTTCATCATGCGATGATGAAGTAGCTTCACGAATCTTGAGGCTTTCAGCTTCAGCCACCTAAAGAGCAAGTACATGTAGTTAGTCCCAATCCAGAAGTCCCAGGGCGAGGGAACGATTGGCCCAGCTTGGATCCATTGCCTTTCTTTCATACCTCACTACAGTATGCTCAGGGAGAAGGAGTCAGTGCAGAGACATCTGTGGGAACTATATGGAGTGACTAGGAGGCAGTCGGGTGGTCAGAAGGAAAGGGAATGAATGTGAAAGAGAATGAAAAGTGTGCTTGTCCACTGTCTCTCAGCTGAGATGTCAATGAACAGTCTATTGAGGTCACACTGGGGAGATAATACTAGAGCTTAAAAAGTTCTGGGTAAGTAACACTAAGATGACTAGAGGCAAATTTTTTAAAAATCTAACTGATTTTTTAGTATACCAAGTTCAGGGCCACAAGGAGAAATTTTAAAAAGTCCTAAAAGGTAAAAATCATTCACTGGTTTCTGGAATGATCTGAATTAGGAGGTAGGTTTAAAAAAATCTTAACACTGCTATTTAGGGCAGAAAATAAAAGATTCTATCTCAGTAATTAACTTTTATAATTTATTCTAAGAAGTTTACAAATATATCAGGGGTTTAATATAAAATTGATGGATGATAGCTACATAATAGGGACATTTAGAATAAATTATAGTGTTAACCTTTTGAAGCCATGGAAGGAATTATTTCCCTATCAGCCATCAGCGATGATGATAAACCTTAGAATGTATTCAGTGCTCATTGTGTCAGGCACTGTGTGAGACATTTTTCTGTGTATTATGTCATTTAACCTTCCAAACCATAAATGCTCACTATTTGCTAAACTTAATTTTCTAAGTTGTATTTCAACAGGTGGTTAACACTTTGCTTTTCCTTTCAGAGATGTGGTACTGGATCTTCCTCTGGGCTCTCTTCTCTTCTCTGTTTGTCCATGGTGCTGCAGGAGTGTTGATGTTTGTGATGCTGCAGAGGCATAGGCAGGGAAGAGTCATCTCCGTCATTGCAGTCAGCATTGGATTTCTGGCTTCCGTAACTGGAGCGATGATTACCAGTAAGTTGATTTTGTTTTGTTTAAGGATGTAAGTTTGTATGCACTTGCCATTTTGGTAGCTGTATTCTTATTATATATGTAACATTAGTGAGATCTTTTATGTAAATATTTTTCAACACTTCACACACTCCTTATAGAAGGTAAAAATGAGCTGATTTATTCATTGAACAGATAGTTGTTGTAATTCTGCTGTGTGAAGAGTCCTTTTACAAAGTTTTGTGGGAAATAGAAAAATTTGTAAAAATTGGCAAGAGGCCAATTCAATGGGAAAATTCACAGTGATTGTAGTTTCTGCTTTAAAGTTGCTCACTCTCTAGGAAAAAGGAAAGGCATAAAATATGACAGTGATAATTATCATTAAAAAAGCAAGAGCATAGCCCTGAGGTCCTTAATGTCATCTGCCTGTGACTACAAAATCAAATTGCACTTTCTTCTTATACGCACATTATTATGGCCTACTAGAAATGAGCTGTGCTAGTGTGTCCTCTAGTGCTTTGCAGGTTTCCTGCTGTGCTGCCTCATGAGCATTTTCAGACAAGTTTTCAGGTTCATTCCCTCTAGCCTTCTCTGCCTAACACTGTACTTAGGCCCCAGCTCCAGCCTTGACTTCAAAGAATTAGTTATGGTTATATTATCAGCAGAAGGTATCCAGGTTACCAGCAGCAAATCCATACAGGTCTGCAGCAGCCTCAATTCTTGCCTCCTCAGAAGAAAGAATTCGACTGAGGGGTGTAAGACAGAAAAAGAGACCAAGGCAAGTTGCAGAGCAGGAGTGGAATTAAAAAGCTTTAAGGAAAGAAAGTACACTTGGAAGAGACCCAAGTGGGCACTTTCGAGGTCAATTGCCCCATTTAACCTTGGTCCTAGGACTTGCCGGCCCACTTCCAGTGTCTTCTACCCCGCTTTCCTCATTCTTCCTTTAGGGTGAGCCGCCAGCATGCGTGGTGCCTTCCTTACACTTGGGAGGCGAGTATGCACAGTGTGTTTAAGAAGTTGTATGCATACTCACCTGAGGCCTTCTTCTCTTTTCCAGTGGAATGCCCCCGAAGATCATACTCCATCATTTTGTCTCATAATGAGCATGCTCGAGCCCGCTTGGCAATTTCCTGAGATTTTATTGGAAGCTACTGGTTACCAATTTCAAGTGTTTTTATTTATTGGGAGATTGCCTCTTCCTGGTGCCTGTGATCATTTCAGTGTGACAACTGCCAGACCATCACCTGATGGTCACCTGACATTCCTGCTGGATAGAGAGAGCCCTCTCCTGCCCCACTCTTGACTACCTACCTACTCTAATAATTTCTGCAGCTGCTGATTGAGCAGAGCTTAGGTGTGCACTCTGTTGAGACTGCAGTGTGCCACATTTGCTTGCTTGCTTAGTGTGGTTGTGCCAGAAACTGGCTGCTTCTCTATGCTGCTATTGATTCTTCGACTGCCAATGCAGAGAAGCGTCTATTGCCCTTTGCATCTGGCCTATTCCCGTATGTCAGGGGCAACTCACTGCTACCACTGAGTCTGTTTTGGGACTCATTGGACAGTTTCTTCTTCCTTTCTAGTTGATTCTTGCCTCAGAGATAGGAAGGAAGCCTTATATTTATAATACAAATGATTCTCCTCTTCACCCTTTCCAGAGTGATTGGCATCCTTTGTCTTGAGAGGAAACCCCTGCTCCCATGTCCCTGGGTATGTCCTATGGCACTAATAAAACAATCACAAAATACTTGTGGGAAATGGGGAGGAGTCTGGTTTCTTTATCCTTCAATTGCTTTTTTTTTTCCTGTGTTATCCTATGTTGTTTTTATAGTTGCTTTTGTTGTTTCTGCATTCAACCTCTAACTTTATCATATGGTACCTCATATGCTTTGTCATAGACAGGGTTTTAAATAGGTACTCAGGTTTAATTAAAGCACATGGTCTGCATAATAGGAGTAGTAGCAGATTCAGCAGGAAAAGTAGAATGGAGCCAGATTCCAGAGGGTCTTGAAAAGCTATCTGGGAAGTTTGGGCTTTTTATTCTTCAGGCCATGGAAAACAAATGGATATTTTTGAATGCAGTTGGCAAGGGACAAAGCAGTTCAGTGGAAAATTTTGTTTTCTAGTTAAATATAGAATTAATGTAAAGAAACAAGAGAAACCCCTGAAAGAGCAGGGACCTGGTCTGTCTTCATCACTGCGTGATCCCCCAAAATAAAACAGTACCTAGAACATAATTGATACTCAAAACATACAGGTGTGATGGATGGAAGGAGAGAGAGAGAGGAAGAGAGGGAGGAAAGTAAAGCAAGAAGAGGGGGTAGGGAGAGAGAATAAAGGAGAAGGAAGAGGAATTAAGAGGCATTAACTGTAATCTAAACTTGAGGCCAGGTTCTGAACTACAGTAATGGCTGTAGGTTGGGAAGGAAGGAGTTAATGTAAGAACTATACAAAGGACAAAAATCTAAATTAGTTATTTAGTGTGTTGGCATACAAAGAGATATGAAAGGGGCTGCCAGTAGTTTTTGAAATGGTCACTGATGTAATTGTGGAACCATGAACAGAGGAGGAAGGAAGAAGAAACAGCTCGTTTGGAAGTTTTAAGTGGTGTGTGTGTGTGTGTGTGTGTGTGTGTGTGTGTGTGTGTGTATGGAACCATGAACAGAGGAGGAAGGAAGAAGAAACAGCTTGTTTGGAAGTTTAAGTGGTGTGTGTGTGTGTGTGTATTATGTATAATAAATACATACATATAAGTATTTATTATCATGCATTATTGCAGAACTTTAAAGAGAGCATGAGAAATGGAATTCTTCCATTTATCTCTGATGATATGTGTGTATATATAACCCATTTTCAGTTCAGTCAAGAATAAAATAAGCCAGTGATTTTAGAAACTGCCGTGTTATATTTTTCAATCCTTAAAAATATAAGTCTGACACAATTTCAAGTAAACATTTGTGTCCATATTAGCAATAAAACATTTAATTTTTTCTGGCTAATTATCTGACCTGCAAACATGTGAATTAGGAAAACTAGCCAATGTGAGTAGTTAGTTATAATTATTTTCTTAATATGAATTGTGAATGCTAGTGCACTCATAGCTGTATATTCAGTTCAGTTATCGATTGCCAGATATCTATATTCAATAAGATGCTGCCTGAATATAGTTACATATTCATTATATCTTGCTATTTCATGTATTTTATTTTGAAACTAGAGTGATTTTTCATTTAATATTGTTAGTTAATACCAGAAATGGGAGAAACCAGTTTCTATGTAATGTCTAATTTTAGCTGTTTAATTTTAGCCAGTCTAAGGGTGTAAAGTAAGTTCTTGTTGTTGGTTTAATTTGCATTTCTGTGATTATTAATGAGTTTGAGCATCTCTTCCTATGTTTATTATGTATATTGGAGAGAGAAGATGAACAGACTGCTGGCAAACTAAGAAAAAAGGGTTAAGGCGGAAGAGTAAAATACAGAGCATAATAGAAGAAATAACTGAATCTCAATAATACAGAGAATTATAAAAATAAAATAGTTTTATGAACAGCTATATCTAAATATAAAATGTCAAAATTGGCATAAGGGGAATTAGAAATATGAGTAGGAAAATAATTTTTATTTCCAATTGCAATATTAAAGATCCTTCTTCCAACAAACTCCAGGCCCAAAAACGTTTGCAGGAGAGTTCTACCAAATTTTCAAGAACACCTAGTTTATATTTGATTCAAGTGACTGCAGAAAAAGAAAGAGTAAAAGCTGTGCACAGTTTATTTGCAGAGGTCATTGTGATCTTGTTGCTAAACAAGATGAGAACTACACTAGAACCTTAGGAATGCTATTCTTGGAATGCAAAGATAATTAAGTATCAGAAATGAGTGCAGCTGCATTTCAATAAAGCATTATTGATGGACACTAAAATTTGAATTTCATATAATTTTCATGGATCATGAAATGTTATTCTCTAGATTTTAAAAAACACTTAAAAATGTGAAATCTATTCTTAGCCTGCATACTGTACAAAATAGGTGGGTGGGCCACATTTGTGAATTGTTGTTTGCCAACCCTGATCTAACTGTGCAAACTGATAACAACACATTATTAAAACTAATTCTTCCCTTAACCTTGTTCTATTTTTTTTTGTTTTTCTACCCATAGCTTTTTGTGTCTCTTCAACCCTTAACCTTTATCATATGTTTGCCTTCTTTTTTTTTTTTCTCTTTCCATTTTAGAGATAGGGTCTGGCTCTGCTGCCCAGGCTGGAGTGCAGTGGCACCCTCATACCTCATTGCACCTTTGAACTTCTGAGCTCTAGTGATCCTCCCAACTCAGCCCCCTGAGTAGCTAGGAGTACAGGCTATTATTTGCTTTCTGTGAGAAAATATGCAGGGCTTTTTATTGGTATGCCCATCTGCAGGCACTTAATGTTGTGTGTCAATGTTTTCTGTCTGCTGATGGCTCCTATTCTACCCTTTGTCCTTGTAGTTTTGTATCTTTTACTCACCTTCAGATCATCTCAGCAGTATTGTTTTCTTCACTTCATTTGGGATCTTTCCTTATTTCTACTTGATTATGTTTGCTACTGTTCATGGTGGCAGATCCACATGTGTTCTTTATTTCAAGCACCCTATCCCACTTCTCTGCATGCCTGCATATATTAGCCTCAAAATCACCATGAAAATAAAGATCTTAATGCACTTTTTCAACTAGCTGTTGTTCAGCAAGATACCCTAAGGAGAGTGAAAACTAAAGAACAAACTGGGTAAGATATTTGTTAAAATAATATATCACTTTATATAATTGTAAAAAGATTAATATCTAGACTGTATATTTTTTAAAGACCCTATGACTCAAGTAATAAAAAGACAACCCAGTAGAAAAACGGATAAAATACTTAAGCATTTCATAGAAGTAGAAACCCTAATGGCCAATAATATGTGAAGAGAAACTCAATCACATCAATTGCCAAGGATTTGCAAATTAATCAGATAGATAATATCTCTTACCCACTAGACTGGCAAAAAAATTAAAAAAAAAAAAACACAAAAATGGGTATTACCTGCCTCTGAGGATATGGAGTAACTGAAATATACACTGGTACAACTAATTTGGAAAAATAATTTGACACTATCTAGTCAAGTTGAAAAGGCCTATACCATAGGGCCGAGCAATTCTGCTTTTACCCAGGGATCATGGAGAAACTCTTGACTGTATGTGTGTGCTGGGGGTTGTGGGCAAGAACGTTCACAGGAGCAGTGTTTGTGATTGTAAAGCACTGAAAACGAAGAAATGTCTTTGGCCGTAGAATTATCCGGATAAATAAGTTGTGGTATATTCATACTTGCAATTCCTTATGGCAGTGAAAATGAATAAGTTATAGCTGCATACAAAAAATATAGTTATTTCATACTATATTCCATAATATATTTATGATCTGCTATTTTAAATTAAGAATTTATTGAACTTGTTCATTGTATACCAATATTGTTGTTTGAAACATAGGATTGAAAGATAACCTGGCATTTAAAATGAAACATCTTTTATATCCTGACGTTTAGGATGAAAGTTTCTTGGAATTTTAGGGACGTTTTAGGCAAGTTAGGTATAAAAATTAAGTTACATTTTAAAATTTGTATTATGTCAGTACTGTATGATTATATTCATTATGTAAAACTGAAAACATTATAAATAAAGCAAAGTCCCTTTTGACCAACACTCTCAAACTAGTGCTCTTCTCAAAAGTAATCCCTATTTTCAGTTTGGCATGTATTCACCAGATTTTTGTTGATGCATTACATTCACTCATACATGCATCGATACATGCATGCATACATACACATACACATGTATGTATGTACTAGTAAAGAATATGTGTTTTATGTTTTATTTTCTTTGTTACATGAATCATATGTCTAAGTTATTTTAGTTCATGTAGATCTATATTTTCCTTTTGAAACTGTATGGGTTCATGATACAGACCTCATATAGTTTGTCTCCATCTGATGGTGGACGTATGTTTTGTTTTTGTTTGATTACAGAATTGCTGTATTGATTACTATATGCATGCTTATGCATGCATATGTGTGTGTTTATATTCTAAATACCAATCATCAATTTGTTTTACACATAGCAAATGTTTTTCTAGTCTTTCCTTGATGTGAAACCTTTATGGGTTTTACTCTTTTTTTTGTGGTCTTAAGAAGATCTCTTTTCCTAGGATCGCAAACATAATTCTCTTACATTTTAAAGTTTAGATTTGTACTTTTGTTTTTAACATTTAGTTATTTAATCCATCTGGAATTTATTTTGGGGGATGGTGTGAAGTAGGGACCTAAATTTATTTTTTTGAAATGGCTACCAGTTGTTCTACTACTATTTATTGGATGGTGAATCACTGATTGGAATTATCTTTATCATTTACTACTACGATGATTACTAGCCAAAATTTGTTGAGTACATACTAGGATCATCCACTATGTTAAACACTTGACAAGTATCATCTTTTAATCTTCATGCCCACCCATTTTATGGTTGAGTAAGCAAGGCATGGGAGGCTAAGTGATTGCCCAGTGTAACACAGTTGCTAAGTAGTAGAGCTTGGATTTTAATCCAGGAGTCTAGCTCCAGAACCCCTGGAAAGTTTGAATTGACACATTTGTTTGCCATTTTGCAGGCAGCCTTAGCTAGTAATTGCTTCGATTTTCCCCTTCTTGGATCATGATGGAAATCTTAGTATCAGAGGGATGGCGGCCAAATTGTGGTTTTTAAAATTGAAGATAGTCATCTAAATCTAGGGTGAATCCAGAGAAAAATAGAGTATTACTCAGGCTTATTTTAACATAATTTCTGATAACAAAGGTAAAGGATACTTAATATTTTTAAAGAATGTCATCCAATTCTAAAATCTGGATATGTGACCAATTATACAAGTTATTTTATTATTTGATTAAGTAAATGTTAATGCTACTAGGAGTTTAGAGATGCTTATCAGCTACTTTATCATTTTCAGAATTCTTTGTTCTCATTTTCACTTAGTATAAATATGAAGCAATAGAATGATTTTTGGAATTATAGCCAGACTAACCTGGATTGAAATCCCAGCTCTTGTACTTGCTGTATTTCCTGGGGCTAGTTACTGAACCTCTCTGAACCTGTTTTTTTCACCGTTAAATTAGGTGATAATACTGAGGGGGTGGTATGATATTTAAATATGATAATATTTGTAAAGTTCCTAGCAAAATACATAGTACATGGTAAGTACACTAATTTCCTTTTATTTAAAAACATATATGAAAGTTCTTGGGTTAGGTTAATAATTTGCTTTTCCTGTTTTCTTGTTTACATCTCTTATAGAGCAATACAATTACTTTTATTTGGAAGATTTTGAGTGAAGTACAAAGAATTAATCTTTAGCTAATTTTTTTCTAAGTTGACAAGTAAAAATTATATCCTAATTTTCATGACTAGGTTCCAATCTTAATTGTAATTGTAAATTCAGTGTCTTCAGATAACTTATCTTCCTATGTTCTTTTATTTAACCATTTTAGGATATGTAGACAGTTTTTCTAAGAAAGTAGTTTTCAGACCGGCCAGGCACAGTGGCTCATGCCTGTACTCCCAGCACTTTGAGAGGCTGAGGCAGGCGGCTCATGAGGTCAAGAGTTTGAGACCAGCCTGACCAACATGGCGAAACCCCATCTCTACTAACAATACAAACTTTAGCCGGGGATGGTGGTGCACACCTGTAAACCCAACCACTCAGGAGGCTGAGGCAGGAGAATCATTTGAACCTGGGAGGCAGAGGTTGCAGTGAGCCGAGATCATGCCACTACACTCTCAACCTGGGCAACAGAGCGAGACTCCGTTTCAAAAAAAAAAAAAAAAAAATAGTTTTCAGGCCATCTCAGTCTGTGAGACATCATATTATAATATAAATGTTACCTCCTTTATGTTTCATAAATGTACTTTTAAAGTTAGCCACTTAGATACCACATCATTAGGGATGTTCTGTGAAGATCAGATGTTGAATCAGATGGGTACTGAGGTTCCTCATATGCTGAGATTCTCCTATTCTTGGAAGTGTACATTACCTAAAGAACCTCCCTAGAATAGATGTCAAGTTCATTTTCCATTCCTATTAGATGTCAAGATACTAGTCTCCAAATAACTTAGAGTTGGATGCTTTATTTAAAAAGCAATGAACTATTTTATGTGCTAGATTGTGAGATGGATTAGTCAGGTGTTATAGTTTACATGACATTTAAGAATTAATTTTATTCAAAAAAGATACCTTTAATATTAAAATATTTATTAATAATTTAGAAATTACATTTTTCTGCATTATGATTTATAATTATTAGTGTGTTATGTTTGCAAAAATGCTACAGAGGTCTAGCTAATTGAATGGCCAGATGAGAGGTTGCAATAATGAATTATTCATTTTTTATGAACACATTTACTATCAAGTATGCAGCATATACCATAAATACGTATCTTTTGATTGAATAGAAAAGTCTGTTTTTCAAATAAGTGGCTAAATATATTATGGTAAGTTGTGACTTTCACCAATCACAGGGAAACTTTTTCATAGAAAGTGGATAAAATGAGAAAGATGATGACTTAATGTTGTTTTGAGGAAATGAAAAGAGCTCTTAAGGTGCAGCCATGCAGTGTGTTATAAAGTGAGTGAATGTGTCCCTTCATTTCTCCTTAGGTGCAGCAGTAGCGGGCATTTACAGAGTAGCTGGGAAGAACATGGCCCCTTTGGAAGCGCTGGTGTGGGGCGTTGGACAGACTGTATTGACATTAATCATCTCCTTTTCAAGGATCCTCGCTACACTTTGAGGTTTCTGTGAGAATGTCTTACTTCATATAAGGAAACAGATGTACAGATTCCCTGAAAACGGCATTGTTAAAAGTGGAAATGAAGTTGTGCAAGAATGTGGACTGAGCAGGTCAAAGCATAAGGAAGACCTTGAGCTGTGTGGAAAGATTGCCCTCTGGTGTTCAAGTGATTGCACTACCGCACTGCACCTTATGTGCCTCTGTCCCAGGCAAGGTGCATTAAGACACTATGTAAAGTTACAAGAAAAAGCACCTTGTTTAGCTGCCTATCAGGTTAACATTGGTGTTGAAATCATCGTTTTTAACAGTGTTGTGTTAAGTTACAGGGATGTTTCGAGGTATTGATATATGTGCCAAACTCTTTTCTTTTTGTTAACATTGATCATGTGACAATTTGCAAGTGTAGATGTAGCTGAGTGCTGTGAACATATTTGACATGAATTCAGGTAATGTACTAAGATTTTTGTCCTGTAACACTAAATCCCGTATGAATGCTAAATACCGAATTGTTTAATATGAGAGAAATTAATTGGTTTTTAATGTTGCACATTTCTGGGATTTAGGGCTTCAATATGTTTAGGTATTATTTAATTGATGTGGAAGATAAGTCTTCTTAATGGAAGACTAGCTCAAATGTTTTAAGAACTCAGAGTGGCTCTATAGGGTGCATACTTTTCACTAACTTAAAACAGTTTCCCTCGTGCATAAATATTCTATAAAAATTCAGAAACTTTAAGGGTCATACACATTGATTGTAGTTTGTGTGTCATAAAAATGTAATTTGAAAATTTTCTTAAAAATTTTGTAAGAAAAAATGTCTGAAATGCATGTTGCATTCTTTGACCCTTCTAAAGAAAGTTTTTGCCTCGTATCTCATGGACAAAACATCTTTATAACTAGTAAGTATCTCAGTGGGATAATATTACATGTTGCATATATCTTGATTTTTGACAAAACATAAACAGTCTTTCATTCTGGAGTATTAACTGTTTTTAGAGAGTGGCCTAAATTAGGCTCTGGAAATAAAGACCTCATTTGTAGATAAGTAACAAGTAAGTTATATAGGAAGAGTAATAACTGTTCTTTGGATATATGGTAACATTATAATTTTGTTAAGTAAAAATTGGGGAATATAGTAGGTAATTTTAAAGTTTGGCAGTCTCAGCATATCAATGCAGTATTGAACGTGTATTTGAGTAATTTATTTCAGTTGTTCAGTTCTTGACTTATGATATTACGATTTAAGTTTAAGTTTACTGGAAGAATCAGTGAGGGCATGTGTTAAAGTGGAAATGTCCTTTATATAAAACATTTTAAGAGGTTTTGGCAATACGTAATTGCAAGAGTATAGGAAGTAGGGTTGAACTGGTCTTCCAATGAGATTTTTTTTGGCACCAGATACAGTTAAAATGTGCTAACTCAAAGTAGGAGCCATTGCAGAGAATATGAAGTTAAGGATAATAAAAAAAAATCTGGTAGCCTTGCTGTTTAATCCAATTTGCTATAAAAGTAGGCTTCTCTAATATCCCATTCAAATTTAAGAACTTTGTTCCAAAACCTAAAAAAAAAAAAAATAAATAAATGGAAAAAAAAAAAAAAAAAAAAAAATATAAAAAAAAAAAAAAAAAAAAAAAAAAAAGAACTTTGTTACCTGCATCACTTTTTCTTTACCCAGAAGCAGAATATATCCACAACTTATCAACGAGAAGTTGGGGAAGCAGTACTTTTACCAGTTTACCATTATGAATGGCAAAGCAGTATGTATTTGACAGTAGATCATCAATTGATAGTCTCTAGAATTTTTTTTAATTACCTTTTGCAGTTGCATTGCAATTGCAAATTTGGAGGATTTACTATCACTGTGGCTTGGAAATTTGTTTTTTAAAAAAACAATAAGCAACTATGCATGGATCTTTGAAGTAAATCTTAAAATTGATTCTTTTTATTATGTACAAGCCTGAAATTGTTTTCATGTGTTCTTTATATTGCTGATGTTTTTACAAATTAAATTTAGGCATAACTTTTCCAAGTCAATCTGATTTTTTCTTTTCTGCTAGACCTGAATTGTGTTCCTCTTTACTTTGGCTATTCTGTCAATAATTTAATGCATTCATGTTCTTCCAGAGGAATTACCAATAGCATGTGGAAATTGTTTCAGATCTACAGAATGAATACTTATTTTAACATATGGTTATTTTATGATTTAAGAAAGTTATGGTAAAGTAATATGGAGCATGATTCATAATCCAAAATTAACCAGAAAATAACTTGGATACATTAAATGTACTAATGTGTGGACCAAAGAGTTAACTCTTGTTTTTACTCTAGAATGAAAGTATAATTGAATGGTTAATAATTAGTTTGTATGTAGAGTGTCCTGCCGTTATCTCATTATCAAGTTGCTTTACGTAATGAATTGTGTGTGTATACTTTTAATTTTAGTGGGTTTTTTTGGTTTCTTTGCTGTTTTCAGTTACTTCCATTGGGATTTTGTGCAGCGTCATTCTTTTGATGTTTTGAGATGCAGTTGAATAGTGTGAATTTATGTATTGTCTTAATAGCTGTTTATATGCTGAGATTTTTTAAAAGTTAGTAGCTTTCCTATAGACACAAGAAATGTTTAATGATATATATATATACACACACATATGTATATCATTATATACGTATATAGAGTGCTGCTATATATGAATACAGTTTACTTGGAAAGCTTTTTTTCAATGAACACTTTCATGTTCTATTGGAAAATTTGTTCAGTGTAATGATCTTTTAAATAGGTTTGAGGATGTTTGAGAATTTTGAATTTTGGGAAAATTGTCTTCACTTAATAGAGCTGGAAACCCTTGTTTGGGATATGACAAAAGCCCCTATTGATATATTTGGGTTATACTTTGTTAAAATTTATATGTGATTTAGCAGTAAATTTTCTTTGTGACAAATACAGGAAGGGAGGGAGGACCATTTATAGTGGACACTCCTTTATTTTAAAATGTTTACTAAAATATTGCTAATAGTGAAATCAGTTCCCCAAAGAAAGAACTCATATATGCCCAAACTAATTATTATTTATCACACTGATTAAAAATACCCATAGATCACAGCTAGTCAGGGGGCTTCAAATAAACTACAAATAATGCTTAAAACTTTAAAAGAAGAACAGGTAGTCTTTTCCATGGGACAGTTCCAAGGTAATACCCTATCTTGCCTAGGATAAGCAAAGTCCTAAATGATGGCTATATTCAGGGCTTGTAGTTGAATTATTATTCTTTTAGATCTTAATGTTTACCAAACAGTGTTACAATTTGTTACCCAATATACTTTTTTTAGTATTTGTAGCATACATTTCCACTGCTCAGAAAAGTATAAGGGTTTTGTTTATACCTTAAATGAGAGAAATAAAGAAATGAGTTGGCTTGTATATCTTGTATTTGTGATATAAGGAAGGGGGATAATTTAAAATCACAGAATGTTGTGGAAAAGGTTTTCAAAGAACCTGTAATGAAGAAAGTGGGGCTGCCATATCATGTACCCAGCTGCCACTCACACACCAAATAATTCCATTTTGTAAACACTTTTTGTGAATCCGCTGTGTAAAGTGCTGTACCAAGTATTTTCTCTAGTAAGAACAAGAATTACCAAGATGGGATTTTTGATCTTGAGTCCACCAAGAGCTAGCAAGAGGATTTTAAATCCTAAAAAGTTTGGGACAACATTTTGCTTCCTGATCTTAGTTGAGAGTTAGCCTGTTTTATCCCTCCAGATTCTCAGTTTCCTGGTTCATCCACTAAATAGAGTTTCCATAACTGAGATACCATGGCTGTGACATAGTGAAGAGAATACTAGACTCCAAGTCAGCAACACAGGTTGAATTAAGACTCTGTCACTTGTCAACTTTTTGACCTTGAGCAAATCATTTAACTTCTCTGAGCCTCACTTTATACTCTATAAAATGTGACTAATACCTCATGTAGTTATTGTGAGGATTATGTGAGATTGTTTATGAATGGCAAAGCAGTATGTATTTGACAGTAAATGATCAAAGGATAATCTCTAGAATTTTTTTAAATTATATTTTGTAATTGCATTAGCAATTGAATATGTTTTGTAAAATTCAATTTTCTTTTATTTCTATATTTTCCTTATATATATTTTAGGAAAGAAACTAAAAACATTCTCTTATAATTTTGCTTCATCTCCTCTTCACCTTTTCTTTTTAAAATCAGCAGATCTTTAAGATCCTTTTGTGAATTTGTGCTGGTAGAAATGGCCAGTGCAAGTGGGACTAAATTAGGTCTGTTGACCACTGGTTAAAATAGAAAAAGGGTAGAGAGGTAGTCAGCCTTTACTCCTTTACCTAATCCCACTTAGCTCCCTTGGATTCATTCTGCCATTTTGATTCATTGACTTTCTGCTATTTGCAAATTATTCTTCTTGAAAAGTAAGAGCTATATATAGCCCCTCTGCCTTCTATATGTCTGTTTCTTCTACCGGCTCTGGGCATTTGGCTCTACAGTATAGTACCAGTTCTTTAGAAAAATCGAAGGATATTCAGTGTCTACCAAGTCCTTTCTTCCACGGGCCAAGGGTGCTTAAGCCCTAGATGTTATTTTGTTTATTTTTTTTTAACTTTACCATTATTTTAAATTTATATCCATCATATAGTTCAAGGAGTAACAAGATGCCTGGAGCAATTTCTGAAATCTCAAACCACTTCACTCTTGACACTACAGATTTTTCTCTCAGTCTCAATCAGAATCTCTGCAGTCATTATTTGTTTTTAAGATGTGAGGAATGAGGAAAATTACTGAAGAAATTCTAGCAGATTGAGATTGCAGATAAATTTGGTAACACTTGTTGGGTAACTGGGTAAATTACTATTTCTTTTAATAATTGAGGTGAAACTCTCAATGGTTAAAATGGACCAATAATCAAATGGTTTTATAATCTTTCTTAGCTTTCCTGTCCTTGTTATAACATCTTGGAAGAAGACTCTTCAGGATAAAAAGGACATTATTTGATTAAAAATTATAATACTTGGAGAGGTAACACAAAAACAACATATTTGATAAAGTGCCCTACATCCTGTGAACACAGTTTCAACCTTTTTGTTAGGACTATAAACTACACTGGATGAGTATGTATACTGCATGTTTACACATGCTGTGTTTCTTTACATGTGAGGCTTCACTGACCACTGTGTGTTCTCAAATTGTATTACGATTTTCATGTGTGTGGTAACAGCTTTGCTCTTCTCACTAAGGAGTGCTGTTCTGTGTAGGCAGTACAGTGTTGTTAAGAAGGTTGCTGAATTAGTTATCTACAAAGGTATCTGTGAATTGGGGGGAAATAATGCTTAATATCTGAAGTATTTTTAGTAGATGTAGAGATGTATCAGATAATACTTTACTAAATTAGTGGAAACACATTTCTGAGTGAACTGAACTATGAACTATAATCATCTCTTACCCTGAGTTTAGGGAAGTTGTTTTCACATTCTTTACATTTATTCCACATGTGTTGAACTGACATAATAACTCTTCCCTGATTTTGAGAATGGATTTAGCAGTTTTCTAAAAATCCTCCTCTTGCCATATAGGTGTCGTATGTTATAGTTTAAACATATGTATAGTTTGTTGGGAGAATCCAAGGAGCTGGTATAGGAAAGAATATTCTTAACACCTACAGTTATGTAGTTCTAATCTTTGAAAAGTAAATAGTTTAGGCAAGTCAGAAGAGCATGAACCTCATACATACGTTTTTAAGATTAGGTGGTGCACCCACATGTATCTACTCTTGGTAGTAATGTGACTTTCCCCTTTTTGGGAATGTATTTAGGTGGATAACTGAAACTGAAAAGCAGTTTGACACAAATACACAGGAAGAGGAATTATGGTGCATAATCAATCATCTGAGTCACGTAACTGTAACACTTTTCTCTTAGATATAAATTGGTAATTACCAAAAATCACCACTTTAAAAATGTTATTCTGTCATGCTGAAGTAAGCACTTTTCTTGGAGCCCTGTTTAAATGAATATTAGCGTAAGAGGACCACTGATGATGAAGTCTCTCTTGTTTTTAAATTATTTACACATCATTGTTAAGATAGTCTTAACAGTTGACACTCTTAGTGTTTGTGATGTAGGATGTATTTGCAATGGTGGCATTTTTAAAAAGATTTGGCCCTCTCACCAATACACACATTCAGATGTGAGCTCCACACATTGAGATGGACAAATAGGAAATTCAACAGTATTTTTTGTTTTAGCCATCTAACTTGGTAAAATTCATAGGATTCTACCATAAGTATTAGCCCCTGATTCTAGTTATTCTGAGATGAGGAATCAACTTTATCTTAAAGTCAACTAGCTAAAATGTCTTTATTTAAATAGCAAAAATATAGTTTACCTGACAGGTATTAAAAGTCTCACTTTCAAATTGTAACTCTCAGACCACTGATGAATCATTTCGTATGTCACAGGCAGATTTTAAAAGCTAAGTGATGCTTTAGTGCCTTGTACGTTAAGATACTTGTGGATT